GGTCTCCGTGGTGCACCTCAAGACACTCGTCCTGCGCTGCGATCATCACCGCCTCGAGCACCTCTGCTTCAGCGCTATCCGTGTGTTGCCTCTCCCCTATTTATCTCGTTCATTCACATCATCATGCCCTTCTCAGTCCTCACGATCCATGGTATGATCCCCCCGCTCTCCCTGCTCGCGACCCTGCCACTCCATCGACCTCATAACTCCCTGGGGCACCGACAACGAGGTATGCTTCCTCGCCAGCCTCCTCTCTCCTGACCCCTCGCACCATCACCCAGATTTAAGTCGACATGGGGCACCAACGCGAAGGAGGTCGCTAAGAACGTGAACAAGATCAATGCGACCTGGTTCGGGCACGCTTTGTTACTCGTCGAGGTGCCATCCGACCGCAGGCGCTCGCACCGCATGCATACTCCTCCACCCCGTATTCAGTGGATACTACAATCCAGCCCCGCCTGCCTAACACGAGGACATCCCTGAAATCGAGGCAATGGTCATTTCACACAACTACTACGACCGGTGCTTGCTGTCCGTCTTTCCCCCTGGCAGATTACTGAACCCCCAGCAGCATGTCCTCACGAACCTCCTTGCCTGCAGCCCCCGCGTCACACGTCTTCGCCCCCATCGGGAACGCTGCGTACTCCCGCAGACCCGGCGTCCCCGCGGTGCACATGTACTGCCTCGAATGTGCGCCGCGTCCCCCCGACGTCTCCACGATGCTCGCAGTCGAGTTTCGACGTCACCTTGATGCCCGGGGAGCACTTCACAGCTATACGTGATCCTCCACCGCCTACTGTGTATTTCACGGGCGACACCAGCTACCGCCCAATGCCGTTCTCGACGGACGATGGCCCCGAGATACTCCCCGTGTGCCCCGCATTCAAGGACTTTGGTGAGTGCGTGTCACCTTCCCTATTCATTCTGTGTACTAACACATGGATGTGGGTCGTGCATATGCCCAACAGCGCTTCATGTCGCCGATCCACAACGACATTGACGCAAAACGTGTGCCCAGGATGCATTGCAGGTGAGTGCTGCTTCCAGACAAGTGCGGATATTGATGCTGATTCTGATCATCCCTGGGTGTGGGTCCCAGCGACCGAAGATATCCCTCGAGCCACCTGTGCTACTCGCGAAGGAGTGCGCCATGGCGGGGATCAATGAGGGCGTGCGTGGCGTGTATTTTCGGGGAGATGGTCCGGTCGGCGGGCATGGGGAGTGCGATAGATGTTGAATGGATGAGTACGGAGCCTGGAGCAATGTGAGGGAGAAAAGGGTCGAGAGCCAGAGCAAAACAAGTTTATTACATGTGTAGTACATGTGATCTCTTGACGCGCTGTGCCACCCTGAGCGGCGACGCATTAAATGGACGCGACAATTGTTCAATTATACCTGTTATATACATAGTCAAATGACTGTCCGATGGTGGAGATTTTTCAGTGTATTGGAGAATATACACACTACCTACATAGAACAGAAAGAATAAAAAACTGGACGAGGTAACAGAATAGGGGGGAAGGTGGGGCTAGTAGGACAATAGGGGAGGACAATGGGCCGGGCCCGCCGTTGGTGGCGCCGGGTGGCCACGAGATTCAAGCTCCGACATTGATTGCCGTGCCAAATGAAGCTGGCGGGTAACGGCCACGCTACATTGTCCTCCCCTATTGTCCTACTAGCCCCACCTTCCCCCCTGTTCTGTTGCCTCGTCCAGTTCTTTATTCTTTCTGTTCTATGTAGGTAGTGTGTATATTCTCCAATACACTGAAAAATCTCCACCATCGGGCAGTCATTTGACTATGTATATAACAGGTATAATCGAACAATTGTCGCGTCCATTTGACGCGTCGCCGTTCAGGGTGGCACAGCGCGTCAAGAGATCACATGTACTACACATGTAATAAACTTGTTTGGCTCTGGCTCTCGGCCCTTTTCTCCCTCACATTGCTCCAGACTCCGTACTCATCCATTCAACATCTATCGCACTCCCCATGCCCGCCGACCGGACCTCAGAGAAGGGCCCAGTAAATAATCCTTCGGGAGGGAATCAGCACCGCTCTAAACCGCTCCGTAAGTTGTGCCACTTGCCGCTACTCTAATTCTGTGGCAGCTCATTCGGCCATTCCCAGTCAAGGAACATCCAGAACTGCCGGAGTGGATTCAACAGTATATTGATGATGGTGTAAAGCAAGCGGATATGCCGCGCAATATCCTGGACGACCATGGGATTACTATTGGGTATGTCTCCATGCTTTGTCCCGGAATACATTGTTCTTGAACCAGACCCTCTTCAGATTGCGGAGCATTGAAAGGATTATCAAGAACAGCGACCTTCACACATCCCGCCACTCAGGCCTCACAGATGTGGACAAGGGCGCTGCCATTATGGCCATCACTCAAGAGGACCCTCTTGGACGATGGGGTGGTCGCAAGATCAAGGAAAAGCTCTCTCTGCAATCCGTTCATATTCCGAGGTGTGTCATCTACTAGTTCCTTCGCTTTTTTGTATCTCATTGCCTAGTAGAAAATTCATAGACGATGTGCGCGGAGTTCTAGACCGTGATGCGAGCAACATGCGAAAACCCGGTGCTAAAAAAATCCACACCCGCGGTTTGTGGTCTGCTGAGTAATTTTCCGTCCCCATTAGTGCCCGAAGATTGGGCTTGCACATTTGGCAAGTCTGATTGACGGACTTGCGCACCAATTTGTGACCACCACAGTGCACCCGCACACTTGTGGGAATTATCCTACGTTCTTTCGATGCTAGAGAGCGCCCTCAATTTTTTTTAGGATGGGTTTGTTGGTAATTTTCCATCCCCATTAGTGCCCGGAGATTGGGCTTGGTACAGGTGATCGGTGGACTCAAATAGTAATTTGCAACCACCTCATCGCAACTGAGCACTTGTAGGAATTATCACCCTTGGGCCAAATGCCGGTTTTCTTGAATTCTGCTTTGAGCTCGTTCCGGACCTGGTGAGCCTTGGCGTTGGATACCTGTGATTCAGGCATCTTTGCAGGCCCGCACTGAATATGGTAGCTTTCACAAGTCGCGCAAAAGGCGCGTGTTGGTGTCGTTGTGTCGTAGAGAGCAAACGCGTGGTGTCACAATCAGGTCACACTGGGCGAACAGCGAGTGCACTCGAAAGGTTTCCGAATTTCATGGATTGTTTATTGTAGTACTGGTATCTAGAGCATAACTACCGCTGTCAACTTGGCCGCATACCGCTCAAAAAGACACGGCATGGGTGGCGGCCTAACCATCTCCCCGAAAATACACGCCACGCACGCCCTCATTGATCCCCGCCATGCGCACTCCTTTGCGAGCAGCACAGGTGGCTGGAGGGATATCTTCGGTCGCTGGGACCCACACCCAGGGATGATCAGAATCAGCATCAATATCCGCACTCAGCGCGCAAAAGCAAATCACACACCGTCCGCAAAGGCCAGGAGATCCCGAGCCCCTCCTAATTGCAGACAATTGAGGGCTGAGACAGCAAGCACAGCGTTCGGTGGGTGCACTGAGAACAATGGACCGGAGAGCTGTTGATGGCGCCGGGTGGCCGCCGGAATTGGGACTCCGACTGATGGGAGCCACCCAAATTCAGCCTGGCGGGTAACGGCCACCGTAAATGAGGACTCCTGGGGTACAAGGGAATAATACCGTGTTTCTACTCAAATCCAAATCGGGACCTTCACTGCCGTGCTTAATGGTGCTTAACCTCAAGTCGTAAGTCCAATGGAATTCCATCGTCGAAGCCGACCACTCGCCGTACTTTAAGAGGCGCAGTATGTTTATGTCGAGGCAGGTATGGACACTTGTTAGTCACCGCCCAGATTGACGTTATGGATGGCGAAACAGGTTCTCCTGAGAAATCCGAGTCTCCAATCTACTACATATGACGATCCTACTAAGCGCGAAACGACCGACCCAGTCAGGGTAAGTGTTGCGCCTCCTTCCGTACACTATTTAATGAGTCTTTGCAGCTGCACCCTGCAATGCAGTTGCCCACTTACTACATGATCGGTAGCGGTCTAGAGTGTGTGTTTTTCTGGTCCGACACGGTCGAGGAGCCTAAACTCGTCAACCTGGCGATCGTCAACGACTATATATCAATTCCCGCTGTAACGACGATAAAAATCAATCAAATTATACCCGACGATCCCTTGTCGTTTATTATTAAAAACAATGAAGGCTTCAGGGTGATTGATCTTTTTTCACAGATTGAAACAGAGTAAGTACATGCAGTTATGAAGTGGCGCACAGTTGACTTCATCTGGTTTAGGTTACGTCGCCCCTTTAAAACCAGAGCTGGAACTAAGGTGCCGAGAGGGCTGTCTCTTTTATTTGAATCGGATCATCTGTGAGTAATCCGTAATCCCTACTGAGATGAGACCGACGTTTATGCATATATAGGCAATACGAGGGTCTTCATGAATTGTATAGAAAGGGATTGACTCTCTGGGCATACATGCATCCAAGCGGTTGATGCTTGAAACCGGTTCTGCTTGTTGTGTACAATTCCTTGGTTTTCTTGCGAAACTTCTTGATGTTGATATCAACTTGAACTTCACGAGTAGTGGTACGCGGTAACGGATGCATCACAGCTTTGCTTTGATCGAAAGTTCTTGGCGCTGAGGTTCTACGAAGAGCCACCACAAAATATCTAAGGCCTCATAGTGCGCACCAACTTCATCTCAGGCGGTTGACTCGGAGCCTGAAGTCTTGCCTATTCCCCCCAATTTCGACCATCAATGTTTTGAAAAAGGTGACACGCATCTCAAGCAGCGTCCCTGAAAGAATAGTGGAGGGTCAAGTTGCGTGAAGAACTTGAAGAAAATTATAACGCACGGAACGGCCAAAATATAAGGTGCCCAACCGTTCAAAAAAGATGCCCTGTGGACTTTAGAAACAACAGCATCGCTTCGTAGGGACGGCCCCTGAAGTTTCACGCGAGCCGCCCGGGAGATCTCTGGTCTCCGCGGTCTCGGCCCTAATTTGTCGCCACGACGCGGGAATCGAACCCGCGGCCTCCCGGTGTCGAAGGGCAAACCTGAGTCTAAACGGGCCGGGCATTCTACCACTAGACTATAGTGGCGACGGAAGCAGCAGAATTTCGCTGAATATATCAAGAATATATGGCCTGTTGATTCGGGAAAGTGCTGGCATCAGTGGCAGTGTGACAGAATCTGTAGATCAGTCTGTCGGCAATCACAAACCAACGCCGCTTTCTCTCCCACCATGCCCTCAGCAAGTTCACGGTATGTCCTCACCAAATTCACGGTCTGCCCGCGTTAAGGCCAGAGAAATTTCCTGATTTTATTCTTCGCCTGGGCCTTCAGGTTGGGGCGCTGAGATTGTGTTACCATCACATCAGCTATTCACTATACTGAGCCATTCTCTCCGTTGTGAGAGGTTTAGGTGTTCCGAAAATTCGCTATCCGAAGAATCATTGCATCCGCATGTCAGAATTTCTCCACGTACCGGACGATGAGGCTCCGGAAATTATTGTTATGCCTCTCATCTGGCGCTGGTACCACTTTCTGTTCCAGACGATCGGTGAGGCAGTAGAGTCTTAAGTCTTCGAAGTCAGTACCGTCATCTTTTCCAGAGAGCATGACAATTTCGTGCAGGGGCTGCGGTTTCTGCATGACCACAACATCTGGCATGGGTGCGTCAAATGGCATCGCTTCGATCGCTATTCAGCCTTGTCCAGTCCACCGCGTTTTGGACCCGTCAGTTGTACTTCAAGGCGAGGCGTATACCGGTGATTCCTAGTTGTTAGCGTCGAATTCAAATTGATGGCACAACCCCAATCATATTGTGTTAGCCGCTACCCGTCAAACACAGGAAGACAGTTCAAATAAAAAGAAAAACCCCCCTTTGAAGCTGAAAGTTCGTGTTTACGTCCGTTCGCCCATTCGTGTTTGTGTCTGGCATTGTTACTAACTTAGGTGAAGGATAGTGGTGTATTCTTCTATGCGGTCGTCTCAGGCTGGCTGTCTCTACTCCGGAGTGCGGCAAGAAAAACTTCGAGGATGTCCATCGGCAACAAATTACCCAAGTGGTTTCAAGAAAGCCCGGAATGATACACAGCCTGTACGCGCTCGCATTCACGGCTCAGCAACCTCTCGAAGAATCCCGCGAGCTTGGGACGAGGGCATGAGTCCAGTGAGGTCCCAATACTTATGTCGCCCGCGCGGGGCCTGCCAGTGGAACGTGAATGCGCGCAAATTGGCGAAGCGCTCGTCGGACAGCGCGTCGTCGACCTCTCGCCAGAGGTAGGGCGCATCGGTGTTGCCGAAGGCGTCGGTGACGTGCACGGTAGCAAGGTGGCTCGAGCGAAGGTGCGGCAGGATCCTGAGGAGCGTCGCGGGGATATTCAACGAATAGTGGAACGCCAGCTCCAGCCGCCGGAGACCCGTGCAGAACTGAAGATTGGTCGGGCTGGAGCCTGTTATCGGCTGATAAGGGCGGGCATGGGTGTAGGAAAGGAGAACGGACCGGAAAATGCGAAATCCGACTCGACTCGCAGGTGGTGTATGCCATCGCCAACACGACGGAGGTATTCTCCCAAGGAGCCTTCCGTTGGTTCCATCCCGCGCACCGAGAGCAACGAAAAGACCGGCATTGTCTTGAATGATAGAATAGCTTTGAAAAATACGTCTACGGGCCCCCACTCGAGAGTCGTTAGAGATAGTGAATGGCAGCCGGAGGGGAACTGGTATGCTGCAGCCGGAAGTACATCTAGGGGCTCTCTGTCGAAACCAACCCAAAGGAGCGCAAAGCTCTTCAACGTCGGAAAATGCGGTAGAGCCTCCAAGAGGGAGCTGAGTGGGAAATGACAATTGCGGAGAGTCAGGCTGGATATATTCGCAAAGGACTTTGCAAGAAATCGATAATTCCGGGGGAAAATGGCGTGATCCATGGTGATGCTCAAGGCGCGTAATTGAGGCAACGGTCCCAGCTTTCTGAGATCTTCCTCCAATGATCCATCTTCCCGGCGGGAAGATAAGCGCAAAGATCGAATAAAGCTCGGGAGAGGAAAGGGCGATGCTTCGACGACGCTAATGAACAGTTTGATGGTGCGGTCGTTGAGGTCGATCTCTGCAAAGTAGCGATATCTGCTTGATGGAAGCCAGTTCCTACAGACGAGACCGCATTGGGCGATGGTGTGGCTTTCACTGACTGCGCCGAGGACGAGATCTACAAGCTCCTGCGGTAGGTTTTGGGCCATATAGATGTAGAATACGTCGTTCTGGGCTGGACAGATTATTGTTCCAGGCCCTCGAAGCGATAGCTTACCGCGCGATGGTGGTGTAGTCGGAAAGAGGAGCGCGTTCTGGGCTGGACAGATTATCGTCCTAGATCTGGTCCTCGGAGCGATAGCTTACCGCGCGATGGTGGTGGTGTAAGTAATCGTTGCGAGAGGAGCGTGATCAGTGGCAGTGCCACAAGCGCAAGAGACTAGAGTATGGATGAAGCTGACTCACGTAAGAGACGGCGCAAACTTTCGCGAGCTCAAGATACCGTATCTGACTACTGGAATATCCCGAGGCACGAAGGTTCAAGGGAAATCGTGCGAGACTTGATGAAGTCAGAAAAGAAAAGCAATTGCCAAGATAATACAGAGTGAGTGTAAGCAAGTCGGACTCTTTCCTTTCACAAGCCTAAGTCTGCGCACACGTCCCGTCTACAGCGCTAGCCTCCCACATATACGCACGTCTCCGCGTCTCCCCACATGCACGACAATGAAACCCAGCCTGCAGAAGCACTCCACGCCGCTACCCGATCGTCATCGCATCGTCCACCGCCTCGCCAACCGTCGCGGACGACGACCCGGCGGCGCCGCGCGGGCGCATGGAGAAGACAACGTCCTTGATGACCTGCGCGATGAGCCCGTGCTGCGCCTCCACCGCGATTTTGGTGCTGTCAAGGGGCGTCAGTCCGGTGCGTTGAAGGGACGAGGGCAGGGGGGGGACGAGAGGGAGGGGGATGGGGGGCGGGTAAGCGGGAGGGAAGGAGAGGCGTGGTACGGGATGCGAAGGAGACGAGACACGAGAGCGGGTTACACAGGATGCGGCGGGGGCCGGGCGCGTGGTACGGGGGATAGAAATGCACCAAATAGAAAGAAAACGCACCTATCCCGCACGCTCTTCGCCAGCGCATTGTCCTCCTTCTCCTTCTTCTTCCCCTCGCCCTCGCCGCCTTTATCCTTCTTCGCGCCCCCCAGCCCCTCGGACAGCGCGGGCAGCGCGGGCGCCGATGCACGCGTGCCCGCGACGGCGCTCTGCGCCTTCGCGAGCTTCTGGTGCAGGTCCGCGAGCTGCGACACGGCGTACGCGCGGTTCTACACCCCCGTCAGTCCCATCCCATCTCTTACATTGACATTGAGGGGGGGAGGGAGACGCACCGACACCAACGGGCTCTGGCTCAGCGTGTTCACCCAGTACTTGTTCCACAGCAGGCCCAGCAGCTCCTCGTCGAGGCTGGACTTGAAGATCTCGACGTCGAGCGGGTAGTACTGGTTCGCGTGCACGCCAAAGTCCTCGATCTTGGAGAGCGGGATGGACTGGTACTCGGAGGCCGCGGCGGAGGGCGGGGTGTAGCCTTCCGGGTAGGTGCGGAAGGCGCCGATGTCGACCTGGGGGGGTGAGTAAGGGAGGGGGAGGGGGGGGAGGGGGGGAGGAAGGAAGAGGGAGAGCGAGAGGGACTCGAACGCGAACGCCCCGCCTCGGGCTCGGCAAAACAACGCGGTCCCGTCGACGTCGACGCCCAAGACCTCTCGTCGTCCGTCGTCCTCGCCAGAGAGCCCGTGCGTGTAAGGGGGGAGCGGGACTCAAAGAAGGTCGTAGAAGAAAGGAAAGGAGGAAAGAGAGAAGGGGGGCGCGAGGAAGGACCGCGTCTCATCAGATACCGCCCGCGGTTTTCTCCCCTTCTAAGAGCACGGGCACGCGATCAAGTGTGGTGGAGTGGAGAGCCCGCGCCCGCGCCCGTGCAGTGGGGCAGTGGGAGTGTTCACTGGGACGCGGGGAAGAAGGAAGAGCGGGAGAAAGGAGCGCGCGGTAGGGGGCAGGGAATGAGGAGGGAGAAAGAGGGAGAGGCAAGGAGGGAAAGAAAGAAGGGGAAGAGGAAGCCCTACGCGCCTCACGCCCCGCTCGCGTTGGACACGGACGACCAGGGGGCTCGACAAAGAGAGGGAAACAGGGAAGGAAACAAAGAAAAAACCAAGAACAGGCGCGCAGCACACACCTTCCCCGCCGAAATCGTGCGATTCGGGTCAATCACGACCGCGACAAACGGGTCCTGGAACTTCTGGTTGTTGAGCTGCGTGTTCACGTCGATCCCCGACAGCCAGCACCCGTACCCCGGGTGCGAGTGGTACCACCCGATCGCGTTCTCCAGCCGGCCGGCCTGGGGGGGGTTAGCGTGTAAGTGGGGAGTAAAGAGAGGGAGGCAGGAAGATAGTATGCCCCAGGCGCGGGCAGTAAGAATGCCTGCGGCGCGGAGGATAGTCCGCCTGCGGCGCCCAACGGTATAATGCCGCAGGCGCCCGAGGAGCTCGTCGGATGTCCCGCCTGCGGCTCCTCGCTCCACTCGCGGGAAGGGACTGCCTGCGGCGCCCGAAGGGGAGACTCGCGCGTGCGCGAGAGAGCTCGCTAGCGCTCGCGGGAAGGGATTGCCTGCGGCGCCCGAGTATAGTACGCCTGCGGCGCCCGAAAGGGAGACTCGCGCGCGCGCGAGAGAGCTCGCTAGCGCTCGCCGGAAGGGATTGCCTACGGCGCCCAAAGCACTCGCAGGGCCCTTCGGGCCCTGTGCTGCCCTCACTCGCCTACGGCTCGCTCGTCTCGCTCACTCACCTTCTCGCTCTTATCAATATACTCGACCATATACTCGTTCGCCTCGCTCGCGGCATTGACGCGCGTCTCGGTGCCCTGTACGGGGAGGGCGAACGAGTCCATGATGACGAGGGCGGTGCCGACGACCTTGCCCTGCATGAGGCCCATGATCTCGTGCGGGACGCCCGAGCGCGCGTGGATCACCTACAGTACAATTACATCCCGAAAGAAAGAAAGACAAGAGGGGGACGCACCATCT